TAGAACAATTTCGTCAATCTATGCAAGCAACACATAAAACTCGTTTTGACGAGGTTAAAATATCGCGTCACGACTTTTGAATTTTGTTTCGTGACGCGATAATTTTCCTTTTTGTAAATAAATTTTTAGAATAGTGAATGCGAAAAACACTTTTGAACTTCGTATCCAGAGGTAATACAGCGTCAAAGCGTCACTCAAAATGATATCAGTCTTTTTGAGTGGTAAATCGACGTACGGAGCGTTACTCCATTTTAACCTCGTCTAGAGGTTTTTCATCTGATTATATATACGAAAATCCCATTCGTGTACATATTGTTTAATCAGTGTACAAAATGTCAAAATCCTGTACAGAAATTCGTGTACAAAATGACCAAAAAATGTACAAAATTTCAAATCAGTGTCAAAATTTCCGATTCGTGTACAAAATGTCAAATCACTGTACAAATTGTCACATTCGTGTACAAAATGTCAAATCAGTGTACAAAATGTCAAAATCGTGTACAAATATTATTATTACCATATTTGATTCCATGGAAAATTAATATCAAACTAAAATAATTTTCATGCAAATGAATGATTTTTTTTAAATGCAAAAATAATTATTTCGAAATATTTTCAGTATGTGCGTTTTTCGAAAAAAATTGTACATTGTAGGAACGAATGTATTTTAAGCTTGACGAAATAATTCACGCAAACGATTTGTTCGCAACGTATGATTCCTTCATAGTATGAAGTTCCAATACACAATTATCAGAAGCGCGTACTCAATTTGTGTATTTTGACAGGTTCAAAGTATGCGTGTTTAGAGGGGGTATACCATTATTTTAATTCGACCATAATATAATATATGTTTGTTGGTTTTTTGGAAATCAAACTCACGTATTGTCCTAATGATTTCATGCCCCGTGGGAACCTTTTTCTATCCGGAATTAGTTCACCACGTGATCCGCGAGCTTTCTCTAACCAGCAGTCGTCTACGTTGATGAACTCATACCCCACATCAGCATAACCTTCGGAAATCAATAGATCCGTCATAGTTTGGAACAGATTTTCACTGTAGAATACAGAAACAGCAAAAGTATAAATCAATCGACAGTAATATGTGCAGCTAACGAGGTTTGCACCCCAACTTATTTTCTAGCTATAGTTGGTCAAGGTCACTTTTTTCATACCGATATCATCATACAAAATTGTTGGAAATAGTCAAGATAAATTAATTATACGTATTTGGGTCAACTTATTGAATTTTAAATGATTCATCATTATTATTCACGTTATTTGGGGACGAATTATGGACAATCGTTGCATATTCTTACGATAACATTTATTCATAAAGAAATAAACCACTACTGGTGGAGTAACGCTGTATGGTGCAGAATAATAATAAATATAATAATAATAATTCCATTATAAAAATTATTCAAATTTTTTTTTACCTAATACAATTTTCCGGGTCACCTTCGCAGTCTGTATTACAACGAAAACGTTCCCATGAAAGCCAACCCATTGGTGGCGTTCTTGCCTGATGAAAATCATTCAATTAAAAACTCAAAATTTGAATATTTTAACAGGGATACAAAATTCAAGGAAATTTCTTCTATGAATTGTGGGAGAAGAGATACTTGAGAGATACTTGCCAACCCATTCTCTAAACACTTCGTTGTATTTGGTGTTAAAACAATGAGTATCAAGACTGCGTATATATTTTTCATTGTGATTGAATAACCGATTGCACCAATGAATAACTTTTAAAGCCACTTTTCAAGGCACTTTTGCTTTTTCTCATAAATATCAACTGCAAATAAAAAGGGAATAATATAGTTAACAATAAGTATCCAATACTCTAGAACAAAATTGTTCCGGAAAGAAGATGCTTTTTATTAGACAATGTTATAAGGTATATTTGTCTAGGTTAATAGTTCTCGACAACCATTATATAATAATATACCGTTGCGAGCAAAAACACAACAAATAACAAAAACCTAAGTTGAAGTTGGTATCCATTTAGCTGAAATGAATGAACAATTGTGAGAAACGATAACATTGTGATTTTAGTGTTTTTGTGAAAAAATTGTATATATTTCCAATGTAATCGTTTTTTATGCTCATGACGAGAAATTTTCGAGATAGTTTTTTTTTCCATTCAGTTTAAATTGCTCGAAGTTTCAAAGCTATTCGTGAACTAGATGTTTATGAATTGAAAATGAGAGAACTGGAAACAGCTCCCGTCTAAATTTCAATAAAACAACGGGCGTTGATGATTTCAAAACCTTGCATTAACCCTTGTCCGCTGTTCCAATAAAATCACGTATCCGTTGCTACAGTGTCAATTTGACACTGTACATAAAAAATCCAAGAACAATTGTGAATATTCATAAAATCTTGGTATTTCTAAATAAATATCTTCGTATGTTTATTATTTCCACAACCAATACAAAGATAATCGTGTTTGATGTCGTTGTTATAATTTGTTAGTGCGATTTAATTGCATGTCTTGGAAAACATAGAAAAAAATTGATAAACTACGCTATTATATATGATATAATAAAGTAATCGAAGACAAATTTGGTAATTTACGACTATTATAAGTAAATTTATGTGATTTTGCTTCATATTTGGCTTACTTGTAGCAATAAGCATGTGTCTGTAAGGTATCTTGTACACAAACATGGGACCAAACTATACAATTACAACAACAATAACACGCATTGCACCACTATTTTCAAACTAACCGTTCCGTCATTTTATCGGTCAATTGGAGATATTTCCCCCGATCCAATTGATCAAAGTGATTCAGTGAGCCATTGTGATGTTTCTTTTCAATCATTTAGCACAGCCATAACATATTTTCCATATGCATATTCATATGTATGTGTGTCGGACACTCTTCGTGTGTAGTGTCAATTTGACACTAATAGCGTTAACGTGATTTTTGCGTTTTTGAAAAACTGGCATATAATTTTTGAAAATGACTATATTTTTTGAAAAATTTATATACGATTGTAGTGTCAATTTGTAACTAACAGCGTTAATGTGAATTTGAAAATAGTGTCGAATTGACACTTCCAGCGGACGCGGGTTAATATAAAAAGCTACCGTTTGCATTGTTGGGGTATACACAGAATATCCATAGAAATATCAATGGATCACAAATAAATCGAGCGAAATATCATCAGGTTCAATGTATGCGTTATTCAACACGTTTGAACATCAATAGTTTTCAAAGAACCAATATTCCGTTCTGGTCGAAGACAACCGCAGTTGTATTAACCATTGGCGGTATATAATTGTATATTTCATCATGTAAATATGTGACAACGTTTGAAATTGCTCGGGCAAATACCATTAACACTCGATAAATAAATATTCATTTCACCAACGATATAAAATGCTTCCGTGTCAAATGAAAAAACTGATAAAAATCAATCAATTAGAAACTGAAAATTTGAATATTGTCACAGTGATGGGACTTGAAATTCAATAAAATTTCTTTAAGTATGATGTTGTGACATTTGGTCTATTCCTGAGAGAAGAGATACTAAGAACCGAAAACTTGGCTCCAATAAAAAAAATCGAACGTTTTGGGGAATCTAGTCTTGACGAAATACAATTTTTATCAATTGCATCGATGTGTCCTATACAAATTTTCGAATTAAAGTTGTTTTTTTTAAATATTTGACCTTCGTTTAAGTTGTTCATCTTATCTTAGTAATGTTTAGCTGTGTTTAGCAACCCAAAAAATCACTACAAATCAAAAATCAATGATACAGTAGCAATTGCGTTAACGTTGAATAACACATACTCCCATTCTCAAAATTACTCTCATTTCATACAAACGCATGAAGATATGTGGAATGAAACTCAATACAACTTTCTATATAACATCTTACGTTCACTTTTATGATGGAACAAATTTGGAAAAAATTATATTCTTATCTTATATGTTTCTGAAGAATGAACAATTATTTTCTTCAACGTTAACATATAATTTTTCAAATATTATCATGAAAAGATTTTTTTCTGCATAAATTTCTTAAATTTGAACTTATATGATTTATATTACAATTTTGATCAACAATAAGTACATTCAAAGAAATGATTTTTTCCCTTGATTCCCCTTTTTTCTTCCGAAACGTGTACACAAAATGTTTTACAATATTCTCTCAGTTTTACTTCATAGTAAAATATTTGACTTGTATCATTTCCAAAAAATCTCAACTTTGCAAAGATTTATGCTTTTAAAATATCATAGCAATGTTCTCGTCACTATTTCTTCAGTGTAATGATTTAAAAAAAATGATTAAAATGGACTATTTTCACTGTGTTTCGTTATTCGATGTTGTTAAGAAAAACATACTGAAACTGAAGACACGTTTACTCAATTCGATTCATTGTATCCAACTGAATCGTGAATGTTAGCTCACCAGTGATGTGTTGCCATTTAGAGACATAAACGGTGTTACTGCCATTCGCTTGGCATCTCAATGTGCACACATTCAAAACATAACCAATCAAAGTGTAAGAAAATATTTCAAAAGTTTAAAAGAGATAAAAAGAATTACATTGGTAATCCCGAACTTTTCCGTACCGTTGGCCTGCCTTGTCCGTAGGTACTTTTGGTTATTTTTTGTGAATTTTCTTGAAATAAAGGCAGTGAAAATATAATAATGAAAATAAAGTGCGTAAACCGTACCTCATTGGCTTTAAACTTTCTGAGGTTTCATTTTTTGGAGAAAAAATAAGATTCCGAAAGTTTCATGTTGATCGCATTTGCAGAAGTCGACGCAGCGCCTTGTTGTCAATTCCCATACAAACGAGCCCAGAAGCGACAAC